GAACGGTGGAAAGTGAATGAGCGCTCAAGAAGGACAAAGAGGGAGGGGAGAGAAAGGGAGTTACCACCGTCTTGGCATCGCTCTTCCTTTCAAACCTCTGTGTAATGATATTGTTTGCAGTGATGCTCAGACATCGAGCACCTGCTGCTCTGTAATGATTCAGCCTCTTTCAGCCGCCGCTGTAACACGACAGGATGCTGCTGCTACTGTCACTTCTGCCGCTGCCGCTGTTGTTACAGATTTTGCTTTTGCTCCTTCTACCGCATGACAATTGTTTTCCTCGTCTAAGCAGATACCAGCCTCAGATGCTCAAGGTGAGAGTCTTGCCTTTCGCTCTGGGCTACTGGTTCACTTAATCTGGTCAGTTTGTTCCATGTTCGTGGTTTTCTTTATCTCATCACCCTCCTTCCCCGTGTTTTGTTTTGTTGTGCTTGCTTTTGGGGGATGTTTCTTCCCTCCTGCAGAAGAGCTGAAATTGCTTGAGAGGCATTTAAGGAATTATAAAAGTGGCCAGCAAACAGGAGCTCAGTAATTGCAAAGCTATTCTTGCTTCAGAGAAGCAGAGAGAGGGACAGAGGGCTTGGGGACAGGGGGACCAGGGGGTCTCAGTTTTCCTGTGCATTACTCGTCTCCCAGTTTGGATGATGTTGCTGAGCTTGGACCTCTTATTGACTCGCACTCTGTGATTTTTGCAGAGCACTGTGACTATTACTACCGTCTCTTTTTGTCTGTGACTCACAGTAATGGACTGTGATAGAGTTAAGGCCTTTTGGAGGTGAGCTGTTTGAGAGCTGATGCTTAAACATGTCTGAAGTAGCTGCCGACACTTTCCCCAGCCCCTCAGCTCAGCTGAGCCCAGATGCGTCCCTCAACAGGCTCCCAGATGAGGAGAACATGCCGGGGACCCAAAGAGAGGACAGGAGGGTCCAGGGGATAGCAGGCCTTGCCGCAACCTGCTGTGCGTGCCTGGAGGCAGAGCGACTGAAGGGCTGCCTCAACTCTGAAAAGATCTGCATCGCCCCTATCCTTGCTTGTCTGCTTAGCCTCTGCCTCTGCATTGCTGGTCTCAAGTGGGTCTTTGTGGACAAGATTTTTGAGTATGACTCTCCTACCCACCTTGACCCTGGGAGGATAGGACAAGACCCAAAGAGCGCTGTGGATCCTACAGCTCTGTCTGCCTGGGTGCCTTCGGAGGTGTATGCCTCACCCTTCCTCGTACCTAGCCCCAAGAGCAAGGCTGAAGTGACAGAGCAAAGTGACAGCTCACTTGTGCCCTCCAAACCATTCCTCCAGCCTTCTCTATATAACCGCATCCTAGATGTTGGGTTGTTGTCCTCTGCTGCACCTTCACTGTCACCACCTGCCCTGGAGCCTACCACAGCATCTCAGGCACAAGCAACAGAAACCAATCTCCAAACCACTCCAAAACTTTGTAAGTAAAAGCTGTGTTTTGCTTTGTTTTCTTCTCCTTCCACCAAAAAAACCCCAACAATAAGTGACACTTAGCTCTGCTGTGACAGTCCTCAAGGAGGACATGTGATTGGCATGCAAAAAGCATAAGTGTGCTAAGACAGGTATAGTATGGGTTACCTTATGACGAGAGCATCTAGAGTCCTCTGAACTTAGTTCTGAGGTGTGCAGGGCAAAAAGGGCTTCGTTTGGGACCTTTGTAAAGTCCTAGTACCACCCTTTTCTGTGCATCCACTCGTAGGGAAGTATGTGATTTACTTCAAAGGTTTATCTGATGACTATTCCACATGGTCTGTCAGCGTATTTTTCTTATAAATTTGGTTCGCATTCTGTCCTGCATCTTTCATGTGTCTTCATTTTCTTAGCCTTGCCTGCAGAGCACTTCTGCTACGTCCTTCCTGAAGTCTGTTGCTGGCGAATATTTCTATCATCCTCCTGAAACACTCAGGGAGAACAGGGAGGAAAAGCAACAGCATATCTGAAGCAGTTAGAAACTGGGAATTATTAGTTTAGCTCTAGCTTATGATCTTCCTCTTTCTCTTAACAGCAAAGCACACGTTTTTCTGTGTCTTTCCCCTTCTCTAGGAACTGATTCTTATTGAATCTCTTTCTCAGGTATTGCCTTACTGCCTTTTGTAGGGCATTTCAGAACAGCAGTCTTGCTGATGCAGGAGTCATATTTCCAAATTGGTTTTTCCTCATCCTAAAAGTAAAAAACATCCAGGGTGTCTGCATTATTTTCTCATAAAGCATCAAAATACTGTGTTGCCAAAGTATAATTTCTTTGACATTCCTAATTTTTAATCCATCAAATCAAGCAGATCAAGCCAGCAAGTCCTGAGCTGTGTAAAATTGTGCAAGTCTAGTAAAAGAGAAGGCAGCGCACTGTTATGCTGAGATCATAGGGCTGCGGTTTCCTTTGGAAAGCTGCAGTGATCAGAGTGAACAATTGCATTCCTTGCAAATTTCTTTGCCGGACCCCATGTCATTTATTCTCCCTCATGCCTTCCCTATAGTGCCGCAGGTTGGCCACCTTCTAGGTGGTACGTAGTGGACCTCACCCTGGAGCCCTGAAGTCATCAGAAGTTCACTAAGTTTAGCCCTACTAGAACTGGACCTAGTATAGATATATGGCATTTGGATTAGATATAACATTTAGGGCCAAGACCTTGCCAGTGAAAATGTGCATAATTGCAGTGATTTCAGAGGAGGTCCTTTTTTCTGAGAGTCAATCCTGAACCGCAGTTCCAGAATCACTGAAATAAAATTTTCAATATTCCTGTAGAAGCCCTGCTGCCTTTTGTTTAGATAATGGGTGACAACCAGTGTTTGGATTAAAAGTAGTTTGATGGAAACAGTCTAATAATACTGCCATGCACTTAAATGACAGGGGCCTTGGTCTGTGGTATTACTTGAATTACTGGGACACTTAACCACCTTGGCAGTTAAAAAGAACTATACTGATTTATTTATTTTTATACATTGCTGATGCTGAAAATCATTTTTAGTGCAAATATTGTGACATTAACTATAGAACTGCATGTTTTACTCCTTAAAGTGACCAGAGACCACTACCCAGTCAAAATTGCCTCAAGAATTCCTCTTGAATTTCCACATATGAGGCAAACCTTTATCAATGGCATGCTAACTTCATCTCTGAAGTAAAGGAAGAGGGAGAGGGGCAATGAGAATATTTGGAGCAGTCAGTGACAAAAATCCATTATCTGCATTCAGATCTGTGCACATCTGGGAAATGAATTGTTGTCCAGAAGTTAGGTGATTGGGTGGAGTTGCAGTTTTTTTGTTTTGTTTTGTTTTGTTTTACTGTTGTATAAATTTTCTAAAGATAAATGTGTTTTAAGGCATCATAGACTTCCAGATAGCTACAGACTGAAAGGAGGGGGAGAACTGGCAGCAGGTCAGGTTTGGGTTGCTCTCAGGGAAAAGGTTGTGTAGACAGAATTTATTCTAACTATGGCACAATTCTGACTATGGCAAGCAGCTGTAATTCTCTGCAAAGAAAAATAAGAAATTATAGCAGGAAAAGTACACTGCAGAAGATCTGCCTAAGAATTTCAAGAGGCATGAAAAGAACTTTTTGGACAGCTCTAAAAGCACTGTCTTGGGGGTTTTTGAAACAGCTGCATTTCAAACACATAATTGTGTTTTATGTAGAGCAAGATTTGTTGGAGAGGTTGACAGATTGCATCAGTGCTAACTTTTTTTTTTGATGCCTTTGACAGCTATAAAATTCTCAGTGACATGGTTTGAAAAGTAGCATCTGCAAATTGGATTGTCCCTTCTTCTGCCTCTCAGTGTCCTTTTTTCCGTTTCGGGCAGAGTGAGGTAACTTGTTCCCAGAAAACCCCTTATGTGCTGAAAGTTTTTTTTCTCCAGTGCAGGAATAAAAAAGAACTGACACATTTCATATTCTGTGGTTGATGTACTGTTGCTGAACCTAACCCTTCCATTAGTTTCCAAATCCTTCTCTTCTTCTCCTCTCTTTTCTGTCTTACTCAGCATATTCCCCTTAAAGCTGTATCCTTCAAGGTCATAGTCTGCAGAGAGCTAATTGATTCTTCTTTCTCCTGGAGCCTGGAAGGGAAAGCAGAAGAGAGACAATCCTGGTAATTGTGTCTGGCGTATTAGATTCAAGACTGATCTTGCTCCTATTATTATACTTTGCCCTTTATCAATACAGAAACATTCTTTTCTGTTTGGTTTACATTTTGTAGTTTAATATCATATCTCCCTTGCTGAAACAGAAAGGGAAGGTGAATGTTTTAAACTATTCCCATATTTAGGGAGCTTGTCAATCTTAGCATAATTACATCAAAGAATATTTTATTACAAGCAGGATATAATAGTACACACTAACCTACAGTCTCCCTCTCTCTGAGAAGACATGCAGATTGTAAAAGTGCTAACTCAGTTTAGGGGCTAAATTTCACTTCTTCCTACACTATCATCTTTAAATACAGTAACACGCTTTACCCAGACTGGCAATAGACTCAGCTCTGTAGTACTGTAAAAACTGTATTTCTGTAATAACTGCTTTTATACATTTGCAAAACATCCGTTTTCCTCTTCTAAGGGTTTCCCATTGCCTTCTCTTTCCATTTGAGTGGATTTCTCCCCTAACACCTACCAAGGCCCATGGGGATGCTGCTTTTCTAGGGAGACAGCTCTGCCAAAGTAGCACAGTGCTCCTGCATTTTGGTTCTGCTCTAAAGTGGAGGTACCCAAGCAGCCTTTGGCTTTATGAGCACAACTCCCGTGACCTGGTGAGTTTCCATAGGGCACACAAGAGGCAAGGCAGGAGGCAGGCCACAGCATGACTTTGCTGGAGTGATTTTCCCTGTAAGCAGAGCAAAAGGCCCAGCAGAGAGCAGGATCCAGAGGAGGTACCTCCCCAGCAGCACATCCACACTGCTCCTGCATCCTTTCCACTTTTGGCCTCCCTGACCACCTTGGGTACCATGTGCTGATGGGCCAGCTGCATTCCTTATGCCATGCTGGTGGGCAGCAAATGACCAACAGACATGTCATCATCTCCCTGTCTCTGGGTCCTGTGCTGGTTGTAACATGCAGAGATGCATGGGCTCATGCAGCACTGGACCTGTGCATGCTACCTGTGAGGAAGGTAAGGCTCCTTCCTCACCAGTGCTGGCCCTCACCTGGAAAATGTGGCAAAGCAAAGAAAGGGCTTTGCATTGCTGTCAGGCACAAATGACTGGGACAGCTCCCTTCTCATGTTTCTGTTTTTTAGTTGCCATGTCAGGTGTTCTGAGTCATTATCAACAAAGGATGCTGCTTTCACATCTTGAGTGGAAAAAGGTGTAAAAAGATTGCCTCTGAGGCCTGGTAGTGTTTTTTTACCTAGGAAATGGTCTCAGCTCCCCTCCAGAGTTATCCAGGCACAGTGGCTGTATTTGTTGTGTCTTTTTAGAGCTACAGATGGGAAAAATTGAATTAAAACTATCCTACCCCTCGTTTTACTATCGTACTGTAATTACTCTTTGGAATTTCTCTCCAATTCTTCTTTCTCAGTTGTGCATTTGATGTCCTTTCCCCTATTCACAGTGATTTGGGAAGGTCTGTATTTTGGTTTCATGGCAGGCTAGAGGGAGCCTCTCCCTCCAGTTATAGGTGCTGAAGCCCTGTAACTGAAGGCTTCAATTTATGGACAAAAATGGTTTGTTCGTAGTAGCTTCAGTCAGTGTTTGCCCTTTTTCTTGAAATAGTGTAATTCCGACCCATGTTCTGCAGGTCAAATTGCCACTACAACACCATAGGGCTGAGTCCATGCTTGGCAGCCTCTGAGCTTGTCAAGGTCAGGGATGTCTCGGAGAGCCACAGGAAACTGTACTTAGAGGAGAGAAGAGCAGATGATGCAGCACAGGCTATATACTAGCTTTTTTCTATGCTCACTGTTACTGTGCAGGGCAGTGCCACAAGGGAGATTGTTTCTTCCCCAAAGCTTGAAGATGGAGGAGGAGAGCACCTTAAAGCAGATGCAGCTACATTTCTGATACAGTATTGATGTTGATTAGCTTCAGACACATGACTTTAACAGCCTACGTTTGGAAGTTAGTTAGCCTTTGGTTTCATATCCAGCATAAAGGGAGAGACCTCCCCCAGAGGATTTCCGGAGTGACTCTAGCAGGAGTAACTCTCTTTCTTCAATGAGTCTATAGGGAGACTACCCTTGCAGTTCAGTTTCTAAGTATCTGCTACATAATATAAGGACCTGAGTCTTCATATAAAGGAAAGTCATGATTTTCCTTTGATGTGTTCTGTGTATTAACAGCATCTTGTCATGGGGAAGTTACAATTAATCACAGTTAAGATACCAGACAAATTCTGAGCCTGACTCAAGAGCGTGGTAAAGAGATGCTGATCTCAGTAGGCCCAGGAGACACAACTGGGCCTCCATTAACAAGCAGCCATAAAGCAAATGCTACTTCACT